CAACCCCTGACCGAGCCCAAAGGTCAAAAAGGGGGACTCTCGTTGAGAGCCTCCTGAGAGCGAAAGCCTTAGCAGCTGTGTGTCGAAGAGTATACGGAAGTATAGCCGAAGCACCAGTTAGGCCTACGAACACCTGTTCTAAGGCTTCCTCTCGAACCCTTTTTAACATCCGAGTTCTTTTCTATTTTCGCTTGCCACTAACTCGTCTCAAGCCGAGTTACTGACTCATCTGGTAACAGACGACCGTGAACCGCTGGTTGGTATGTCCCCTCCTTCATGCTAAGAGGTTACTAACCGGGTGGCAGATCACACTGGTACCCTTCGTCAAGCCTCACTCACTTGACTTAGGCTTAACCCGTGTGAACCCTGCTACACGCCCCGCGCCCGAAGGTGACCAGGGCAGGGCCATCCATTGGCATTCGATCGACATCGGAGCCCGACATCTGGCCCTCCGTGGGGGGGCGGGAGGCAGGACAGTCTTGCATCGCGTCCGTGTTAGCTCCCGCTCATGGGGCCTCTTTTTTGAAGGGGGATAGCCCCCGGCGCCTGACGGCACTCAGGAGGCGGACTGTCATCAACACCCACACACGCATCTCTCCTCCTTTCTCCTCTTCTCTCTTCCTCCTTTCCCCCCCTCCCCCTCTCCCGCCCCTCCTCTCTGTCAGTACTCCCCTCTTGTCTTTAATTCCTCCCCCTGCCTGGCGGATCGCTGCTCGCCCTGTGGGAAAGCACACGCCGACACCCACCTGCCATGTCATCCACGGCGCCACTGTTCGCCCCGCTGGACGGTGACCGTGCGGCCGAGGCGCCTCTCCCCGACTCGCTGGCTGACCGCGAGTCGGTGCGCAAGCTGCTGGCCATACTGGACCAGGCAGTGGCCGGCTGTGACGGCGCTCTGGAGGCCACCCTCAAACAAGCCACCCGGGACCCGCTGTCGACCTCGGTCACGGCGAGCAGCGCATCGGCTGGCGGATCGAAGCTCTTCGGGCAGGCCATCGGCCGGGACCTGGACGCCATCTCCGCCGGCAATGTCCTGTCCCTGGGCGCACGGACGCTCACCCGTGCCAGGTGCGGCCCCCTGCCTCAAGTACCCTCGCGCCCCGCTCGCACCCGACCCCATACTCACCCTCCTTCCGGGGGATGGCGGGACACACAAATCCCCCCTCCGGCCCGGGGCAACAGCTCGCGCCTGGAGTCGCTCCTGGACTCGGATGCCCCGCGGTTGGTGAACCTGTTGGACGCCAGCGCCACCTTGGCGGAAGGGGTTAGCGCCAATGTGCGCGAGCTCGACGCCAAGCAGGTACGTCCTCTGCCCGTCTGTCCCGACGCTCGTGCACTCCTCCTCATCCTGCACCGGGCCTGTCCTGACCCTGGCCCTTCCTCCCTCATGCCCTGGGTGTTTGTTGACTCCGGCCTCCGGCCTTCAGGCCCGCGTCCAAGCGGCCCTCGAGCGCGTGGACATCCTGCTGGACATCCAGGTATGCAAGCCAGCCCGCCCTCCTGCCTCTGGCTCTTGACCCGGGTACTGATCTGTGTTCTGTCGGTGGGGGGATGGTGGCGAAACTGGAAAAAAAAAAGAACACCATGAGTTTCCTGTGCGACGCCCTCAAAAATGACAACCCCGCCACGGCCAGCATCTACGTCAGCCAGCTGATGAGCTGGCGCGTGCGTGGCCAGGCGCTGGCCCTGGGCCAGGGCCCGGTGGGCTCGGGCCGCTCGACGCGCACCGGCCTGGCCCCCCTTGGCGATGGCTCGCCCATGATCCAATCGGCCGCGGCCTTTCTCTCCTCGTCCAACGCCGGGGCCGCATCTCACGCCCTGGCGGCCACCAGTGCCTTGGATGCCCTTCAAAGCATGGCTCTTGGTCGGCCGGAGTCCGTGCAGGCGGCGCGCTTGCATTTGGCCGCCGGGCCAGCCCCGGGCCAGTGCGCGGTGGCTTGGCTGCTGATGGTTCGCCACTGGCTGGCCTGCACCAGCTGGGCGGAATTTCGCCGGAACTGTCCCTCCTTCCGGGCCGTGTGCGCCGCCCTCGGGGTCACCCTGGCACATGCCCAATCTCTGGCCGCCCGGCAGGCCCTGCTGGCGACGACGTCCCCGCGTGCCGGCCGCCCGGGCGCCGCCTCGCGCTCTGACCCGCCCCTCGGGGCGGCCGACTTGGCCGCCGAGTACATCCGCGTGCTGTCGCACTTCGATCGGGTGTACCGCTTCCAGGAGGCGGCCTTTTTGGAGGCCGAAAAGTCGACACACCCGCTGCTCGGGGACTTCGAGCGCGAGCGTGCCGCCATCAAGTGCCTCTCTTCGCTTGGAGGGTATGACGCCCGCAGGGCGGTGCAGGCATTTGCCCTGTCGGTCGGCGGCCGGGTCGCCTGCTTGCCGGCCGTGGCATCGCTCATCTCCAACCCCGGGGATACGCTCCTGCCGTCCGGCGGCTCGGGCGTCACCACCACCGGTGCCACCGGGCCAGGCCATGTCAGCGAGAAGATCACCCGCGCTCTGGAGGAGGTGGCCCAGTTCCTGGACGCCGCGGTCCCCTGGACCGAGTCCCATCTGTCCAGCGGGCTGATTGGCTCGGGGGTGTGGATTTGCTGCGACTTCACCCAGCGCGTGGTGGACTTCGCCGCCACGCAGGCCTTCCATCTGTTGCAAACGGCCTATCAAAACCCACTGGACATCGACGGGGTGCGTGTGTGTGTGTGTGTGTGTGTGTGTGTGTGTGTGTGTGTGCGACTGGACACTGCGGCCTGCACCTGTGCCCCCTGCCCCTCTCGCTCCCTCTGTTTCCTTCCGGCCATCGCCCTCCCCTTCTTGTCTCTGGCCTTTTCGCGCCCTCGCGCCCTGCTCGCTCTCTAACTGGAGGCCGCCTCGATCTGTTCAACCTCAGACTTCGGCTCGTACCTTGGACCAGCACTCCTCGGCGGTGGCTGCCTGCCTGCGACCCATTCGCCTGTATCAACGGTTCCTGGAACGCACGCTCGGCGGGTCCTATAGCTCGCTGCAGTCCGCACACCAGGAGTTCCAGGCCTGGATCAACAGCCAGCCCGGTGACGAGGATTCAGCAGCCTCGGGTGCTGATCCTTGGGACATGGTCAAATCCCCGGGGCTCGGCCTGACCGACCCTGACCCCGGTGAGGCAGCCGGCCGGGCATCGATCGATCGACGTGAGGCTCCTGGCCACCTGCCAGGCAGCCTGCCCGACGAACTGGCCCTCTTCGAGGTGGAGGAGCTGGTCCAGGGGCAACCACTGCCACGGATGCTGGCTGTGGCCGGGCTCCCGGCCAGCCGGGTCTGCCCGTTGGAGCGCCTGCACCCGTCCTCTCGAGGCCCCGGCGCTGCCATGGGGCCCGGGCCGGATGGGCGCCGAGCTGAGGCCTGCTTGTGTGTCCTCGGCGCCGAGCAGCTGGCTGCACGCCTGCAACAGCCGCCGCCCCAGCAGCCGGCCCTGGCTCCCGGCTACCAGGCCCTCTTCGGCCGGCAACTGGATGATCTCTTCCCTCTGGGCCATGGGGTTCACAAGTCCCTGAGCGCCGGGAGCTTGGCGCGCTTCCTTCGCCGAGCCATCGGCCTGGCCCGGCTGCCCATCGCCAATCTCTACATCCAACGGGAGCAGGCATACCTGGCTCGGGGCCTGGCGGCGGCGGTGCGCTTGGACCCCCTCTTCGCGGCGCAGATCGGCTCGTCGGCCTCCGCCAGTGCGGCGGCGGTGGCTGCTTCGTCCTCCTCGTCGGCCGCTGTGGCCGCTGTGGCTGCCATGGCCGGCCACTCCGGCTCCTCGGCCTCCTCCACGTCCACCCTGTCTTTGAGTCACTTTGGTGCGGGGATCTCCCTTGCCGGGGCCATGGGATCCGCCGGCGGGTCGGTGGCCGACGATCCGACCGAGATTTCGGTCCCCTCGCCGACCAATGACGCGGCGGCCCTGGCCACCATCTTGGCCTCGGAGGCGCAATTCCTCGGAGGCGGGGCCGGCTCCGGCGCCAGCGCCAGTGCCCCGCGGTCTCCGTCGACTCGGACCCCGGGCCATGGGGCCCCTTCGGCGCCGGGCGCCGGGCCTCGGCGGGCCCTGGCCACCGGGTATTTTGCGGCGCTCTTCGGCGGCCCGGCGGCCGGTACTGCGGCCGATCCACTGCCCGGGCATCCGGCCGGCGATGCCCTGCACAATCCCACCCGCTACCACTCCCCCTCGGTGGATGATGCCTTCTATGTCCTGCAAACGGCCCTGCGCCGCGCCATCCGCATGACGCGTCACACCGATGCCTCCGGGGCGGTGATTCTATCGGCGGCCGAGGCCCTTGAGGCGCCGGCCATCTCGGCGGGCATCACGGCCCCCTCCTCCCTGCCCGGAGGAACTGCCTCGACGGCCGCCTCCAGCGCCAGCTTCGTGACTGCCCTGCACTCGGCCACCAACAGTGCTCTGGCGCGCGCCAGTGCCCTGGCCCGGGCCGTGCCCTCGGCCACGGCGGCTCCCTGCCAGCAAACCAAGTGCTCACTGTCCGACGTGTCGCAGTCGCTGCTTGCCGAGACCGGGCTCTCTTCGCGCATGCCCGGTGGTGGCCTCATGGTTTGGGCGATGGTAAGTCCGGGAGATCCCAAAACACGACGGGGCTGGGCGGGATGGGGGGGGGGGGGGGGGGGGGGGCGGGGAGACCCGGCAAGGGAACTCGTGTTATCCCCCCCGCGCGCGCGCGCGTGTGTGCGCCTGCATCACTAACGATACCGTGCCCCCCTTTTCGAGCAGCTGGTCATCAACAACATCCACCTGTCGGCGCAGTACACCGAGCGCCTGCGTGGCGAAGTGGCACACTATGTCAGCGAGAGCTTCCCAGTCAATGTGCCAGCCGCCGCCGAGGCTGACCTGGCCCTGAGCACGCACGTTGGGTCCCTCAGCGAGAACCAGATGGAACGCGAGAAGATCGAGCAGTGCCTTGTTAGCCTGGACCCACGGCCCATTGTCCGGTCGGTGGATGTGCGTGTCCTCTTCCCTGTCCCCCTCCCCCTCCCTCTGAGACATACACACACACATACACATACACGCACGCACACCTATTCCCTCGCACCAAATGAGCTCTTGTTTTGTGTCCTGACCGGATGCTTGCGTGTTCATCGCATCCCATCGCTCCCGAAGGACCTGCTCCTGCGCTTGACTCGTGCCTCGCAGGCTGAGAAGCGCCTCTCCCGCCTGATCCGCTACTCGGCCTCCTACTCGCTGGTGTCGATCCTGGCCGCCGGCGTGCCGACTACCCCATCGGATTCGCCGATCCTCGGCTCACGCGACTCCTATGACAGTCCGCACATGTTTGATGAGACCAGCGACTTTGGCTTTGCCCGAAGCGTCTGCGATTCGGTGGCCCACATCGCGGAGTTCTTCAAGGTACCTCTCCCCGCGCCTGGCATCTGTGCCACCTGGCTGCCGCTGTGCTGGCACTCACGCTGACTGTCACTCTCTAATAACCACGACGACGAAATAAATACCAAAGAACAACATAACTCAGCACTAACGCAAGACGAAACGATGATCACAAAGACTAACAAACAAATCACCTCACCGAACATTAAAATCCTCGCAGCACGTGCACTTGTGTCTAGCGCCAATCATTTCGCGCGCCATCGAGTCGATCCTCGAGCCGGAGGTGGCTTTCTCCACGGTGGCCGCGCTGAACCGCCATCTCGAGGCGTCGCAGCGCCTGCACCTTCGATGGGGGTCCTTTTCCCCGGAAATTGGCTGGACCCCTGGCTCGGCCGTGCGCATGGCCGGGTCCCTGGACCAGGTGGACAATTTCCTCCACTCCATTGCACCGCCCTCCGGTGCCTTGGGCTGGGCCGGTGGCGCGGACTCCGACGCCCTGCATGACCTCGGCTCTAGCCATCTATCCCGGCCGAAGCGCATTGTCCGCATCCTCGAATGCTCCACCCTCAAGGAGGCTCGCTACATCGGCCAGGCATCTGCCCCCTCGATTGACGCGTCGAAGCGCGAGTCTGGCCTGGACATCGAGCGTGTGTGGAGCTGGGTGTCGCGTGTGTGAATTGCTGCCAATCACCACGCCTCGTGCTCCATGTGTACGCTACCCAAATCACGCCAACACGAAGCAAGTATCTCAAGTATAGTGGGAGGGGGGGGGAGGAGCGCCGGGCAGCGCACAAGGGAAGAAGTGGGAGGTGATGAAGAGAGGGAGGGAGAGAAGAGGGGTGAGTGCCCAGCCACAAGGAGGGGGGGGGGGGGGAGAGGGAAGGATAGGCATCCCCATCCACCATGTCAAATGGAGGAGGTTTTGAAGTTGTGCCCGGATGAGGGCATTCGTTCGAAAGTCGGGGCGGCCTTGGCCGGACGACGATACAAGAAGGGAGTGGTCCGGGCAGAGCCAGTACTACGCGGGAGGAAGGCCCCACCAGTGGACGCGCCCACCGGGTTGGGGATTTGCCGCGAACCGAAGACCGACACACCGGGCAGAGTGGAAGAGAAGACCTCCCCCATGTCGGCCACCTGGGGCGAGGCATATGTCGACCCGGTCATCGAGTTGAGGGGGCTCATCTCGCTCGGATGCCCGCCAGAAGGGCCCATGCCGAGTCCGGCCACACTGCCAGTGAGATCCACCCGCTGGCCATGGGGGATAATCTTGATGCCCAGCTCGCGGCAAGACTGCAGGAAGAAGAGCCACGAATCGGTGCGGTTCTTCCAACGGACTGCACCATCCTGCCAGTTGCTCAACTGCCCGATGGTGATGAGCATCTGCATACGACCATGGGTATCCACATCGAAGAGGATGAAGTCGACATCCCGAGCGAAGCGCTCCGGCTGGGACTCGACCCATCCCTATTGTGGGGGGGGGAGGGGGCGAGCGAGAATGGCGAGCGAGAGAGAGAGAGAGAGAGAGAGAGTCGACGGGACAAAAGGGGGGTCAGTCGATATGGAGGGAGGGAAAGGAGGCAAGAAAATACAAGCGATTGCGCTTCAGGAGGGGATAATGGTGGACAGGGCGAAAGGAGAAAGACCCCACGTACCTGCATCATGCCGCGCAGCGTGCCAAGCTGCTCGGAAGTCGTGTCGGCATCCAGGAACATGTAGAAGGTGTGCCGCTGGTTGCCAGACCGCCGAATGTTGATGACCACCTTGTCCGTGAGAATGTGATTGGGGATCCAGAAGTATTGCTCATCCCACCGGCGGAAGACGGTGGCCGTGATGTTCATCCGGGCGACGATGAAGTTGTGATCGTCAATGAACACACGATCCCCCACATCGTAGGGATGCTCCACGAAAAGATAGATGACATTCTGCCAGGGAGAGGAGGGAAGGGGGGGGGGAGGGGGGAGGGGGACATGGAGCGCATTCGCGGCCGTCAGATGAATTGACCGTAGGAAGACGCACGCCCGGCATCGAGCAGAGGGATATGTCAATAAGCTGGAAGGAGCAAGGAAAAGAGCGGGATGCCGGGAGGGAGGGGAAAGGCCGCAGAAACATCCATCCGTACATCGAACATGCGCTGGGCCGAGTGGCCGAAAATGAAGGACATGGACACAATCAGCGAGGCAACCGGCACAACGGTGCTCTCGATGTTCGTGCCGAAGATCAGCAGGAAGGCAAACAGCAGGCACACCAACAGCATCAGGCTGACAAATCGATCCAGCGTATTGACCATGGTGCCCGAGTCGCGCAGGGAGTTGCTCAGGTTCTTCCGCTCGCGGTAGATATTCTGCAAAGCCTCCTTCATGTCACGACGCCGGATCTGCCCACTGGAGTGGATGTCAAATAGGGCAAATGCCTCGTCGGTGTTGACGCTCGGCTCGAGGAAGAGGGAGAAATCCTCGCGCGTCAGCCGAGCCGGGCCCACCGGCGCCTGCCGGAACGTGGGCGGCCGGATGTCAACCTCCGGGACCGGCACCTCGGGGAATGCCTCGGCAAAGGCCGACCCCGGCATATTCTGCTGATGCAAATGCTGGGACGAGTACGACTGGTGCACCGACTGCGAGGAGGGCCCCCCGACCGGCTGGCCATGCAGGAAGGACCCCGACTGGGGGTGCTGCTGACCAGGCGATCCGCCACCCAGCTGTGACTGTCGCTGCTGCTGCTGGTGCTGCTGGTGCCGCTGCGTGGCAAAGGGGCCCTGGCTGGAGGCGGGTGCCCCGACGCCCGGGACGGCCGACAACGGAGCCGACCCGGTCGGTGCAAAGCCCATCCCACCCGCGGCCGGGGTCGGTCGCATTGGGGTGTACGTGTGGGACGTTCCCCCGGGAGTGTTGCTGAAGCCGAGCCAGGACGTGACGGACTTGGTCCGATGGCGCGCTCGCTGCCAGGGACTACTCCCGGAAGCCGGGTCGCTGGCCACCAAGAAGTCATGATCCACCGGGTTATTGAGGAAAGCCCCGCGCGGGGCACCCGGCAAGGCAGGCGACCCCTGGATGGATGGCTGCGACCGAAGTGGCTGCGATTGTGACCGGAAGTGCTCGGGCTCGCCGGGCCCGGCTCCGCCATTGTCAATGCCGCTGTTGTTGCCGCCGCCGCCGCCGACATCGATGACCACATCTCGCGGCGGGGCCGGTGGCGAGGGCGACCGGGAGATCATCCGCCGCAGGGAGGAAGACGCCCCACGTCGCAGCCCATGCAGCCGACCGCGCGAGCCGAACTCCTCACCAGTCATGGAGGCATCCCCGGGCTGGTTGACCGAGCTGTTGGACCGGCGGCCTCCGGACAGGCGCTGTTGCTGTTGCTGCTGCTGCTGCTGCTGCTGCTGCTCCTCGGCCTGCTGGGCCGCGGCCAACGACAATTCAAGCATCCGATGCTCATACTCATGGCGCCGGAGCAGATAGTCCTGAACCTGCTGCTCCTCTTCCAGCTGCCGGCGAAGACGGATCATGTGGCGGAAGATGTGCGACGCAACCAGCCGCGACTCGCGGGAATTGTCAATGTCACCCGACTGGTGCAGCATGTCCGAGAAGGAGTGCAGCTTCCTATGGCCAACCATGTTGACCAGCTGCTGCACATCGCTGAAGCTGACCTCCTGGATGCCGCTGGCCGAGGGGAAGGAAGACCCGCTGGTGCCGCCGGAATTGGGGCTGGCACCGGGGCCCCCACCGAAGGGAGCCCCGCCGAAGCTGCTGTTGCGGCCACGCCCACCGGCCGTGGAGCCCTTGCGCGTGGAGGACTGGGCCCCATGCTTGGCGAAGGCCCGGGAGTCGATGTCGAAGTCCGGTACATCGCCCCCACCGGAGGCGACACCCATGCTGGCTGGGGCCGGGAAAGAGCCCGACTCAATGGCAGTGGCTGCACGGTCGGCCGCCGCCGCCGCCGCCGCCGGTGACAAGTGAGACGAATCCGCCGGCAAGTCGCCCCCGCGCAGGGGCCGAATCAAAGACGAGAGATTCAGATGCGAGCCGGACCCAAGTGGATCCTGAGACCGGTGCTGCCCGGAGGACCGGGCCCCATCGGCGAGGTTGCCATCTTGCGAGGGGGTTCGACTGGCATAGATTGATCGACTATTCCGGTCGGTCACATGGCGGGCCATCTCGGCGATGCTCGGCCGGCCCGGCGGCACGAAGGACATCGAGGAGGACACACTCGACCGGGCCCCAGGGAAGGCCACACTCCCACGCGCTGCTGCCATGGGATTGACACTGCGCCGACTGGTGGAGGCGGCCATGCTCGGGGCCAAACTCGGGGCCAGGCTTGTGCGGCTGGGGTTGGCCGACAGCAGGCTCGGGGCAATGCTCGGCCGGCCGCCCAGCCGCGAGGGAGCCATGCTCGGCCGCGAGGGGGCCATGCTTGGGCGCGAGGGCGCCAGGCTGGGCCGCGAAAGGGAAGCAATGCTCGGCCGCGACAGCATGCCCGGGCTCATGGGACCCGATCCAAAGCCAGACCCGGCCGCCAGCGGCGACCGCGGAAGCGAGTGACTTGACGGCGGCCCATCCAGGCGCCCGGTGGCAAAGGATGCCCGCAGACGATCGGCCTCAGTCATGCCACCCGCGTCCGAGCCAGCATACTCCGAAGCAAAGGCAGCCGCACCCGCCAGGGCGGACAAATGAGCAGCCATATCGCCGGACGGGCTGTATCCGATGCTGGCGCTGCTCCCGGCGGCTGCCAGATCATCGCCGACACCCTCCGGCATGTCACCATCATCATACAGACCATGACCGACGCCATACGTGTGGGCTGGCGGGGCGCCACCATACGGGGTGCCAGGGACGCTGGTTGTCGCCGCCGCCGCTGCCGCCGCTGCCGCCGCCGTGCCATCATCCACATCCAGCACCGTGCTGGCGGAATTGTGCAGGGCCTCAGCAGCCCCGGGGGTCGCGTCGCCAGATTGGCTCAGATGCAAGTCCAGAGCCAGCTCATACCGCAAGAATGGGTACTTCTGGTTGAGGCGCTTCCACCGGGCCGATAAGAGTCGATGCTGGCGGATGATGCCATCCGTCAGGGAGATGATGATGAACTCCGCAAAGAGGGACTCCTGCAGGCGATCATAATAGGCCTTGGTCTGGAAGTTGAGGGCGAAGGTGCGCATGAAAATGTCCTTGATGAACCAGGCAATGCCGCCGATCAGGGCGCACATAAGCGCCGGCGCGATGAACCACACCGCGTCGCGGTCAAGCTGGTCCTCGAAGCGCAATCGCCACGACCCGAAAGAGGGCCAGATGGCCACCATGCCGGCCGCTGCCAGGACCAACGCCAACAGGGTATTCAACGAGGACAAGAAGAAGACCACATTTCCCTGGAAGTAGAAGTACCTCTGGATGATGTATCGCACGATCATCAGCAGGTAGTACAGCACCAGGAAGAGGGCCACCGCAATGCAAATCAGAAGCGACCAAGACAGGACGCCGACACCGGCGAGGGTGGTCTCCTTGTAGCTGTACAACCCCCGCCCCCCGGGGTGCATGGAACGAACGAGGGGCGAGGACAGAGGGAGGAGGGGGGGGCGGCATCGGAGAGGGGGACAGGGAGAAAGGAGGAGGTTAGAAGGGATACAGATCCGAGGAGGGCAGGAGGAGGATGACAGACAAACTGACGGGGACACGGCGCCACGCACTACACCACGCAGATGACACCGGGGATGAGGAACACCAGGATCAGCAACAGGCAGACCGTGATCCGGACAAAGTGCGGATTCTTGTAGAAGGTCCACGGCCTGAAGAGGAAGCGCGAACGAATGTTCTTGTTGCTGCCATTGCGGTTGAGGTCATCCAATTCATCATCATCGTCGTCATCATCGGAGTTGAAGTCCGCCGCATTGATCGATGCATTCAGTGGGTCCGACAGGCCAAGGTCGATCATCTCCTCCAGGTTGGACTGGCTTTCCGGCACTCGGTGGGTACCGGCATGGCTGGTCCGCTCCAGGGAGCTGGCCCGCGGGACCATGACATACGCCTCGTCGCCCCCGGCGTCGGCCGCCGCGGCCGCCATCTCATCGTGGAAGTCCACTTGCGACTGGCGGCGCGAACCGCGGCCCGAAAGCGACGTCCGGCTGGAGGGATTACTACGGGCATGGGAAGTTCGCGACAGCAGGGCATTGCGAATGGTCCCGACAATGGACGTGCGCCCGGTGGCGGGCGTCCCGGCGTCTGACAACTGTCGACTGCCGGCACCCATGCCGCGCGATGAGGCACCCGTCGACAGGCCCGATGGCGAGGTCAGCCCAGAAGGACCGCCGCTCCCGGTGGAGGGGGATCCCCCGTGACTGGGCCGGCTCCCGGTCGGGGTATGGCCTCCGCCCGACGGGCCGAACATCTCCCCGAGGAAGCTGCCCGCCATGCCGAGGATGCTGTGGGAGTGTCGCTCGGTGGCCGTATTCGACAGGAGCCCAATGCCATCGTGGTTCGGGTCTCCGGGCTGGTCGTCGCCCTGGGAATTCTTCGACTGGAAGGAGGATGAAGACCTCGGTGTCGGCTGCGGAGACCCCTCCTCCAGGTGGGAGCCATAAACCCCGGTTTGGTGATGCTGCGGGTAGTGGTGGCTGTCCGCGAAGGGGACATTGACCGTGACACCGCCCGTGGCCGGCATTTGCAGGCCCGCCACCGACGGCGGCGAAACCAGCCCCGACGAGTGCCCCGGCAGGGACATGGTCGACAAGTCCCCATGCAAGGTCTGCCCAAGCCAGGCCTCGGGATCGTGTGGAGGCCGGGCATTCGGGACCGGGGGCGCCCGGCCGGCTGGCATCCCGCTGCCGACCAGCAACGGCGACATCGATGATGGGAGAGCACCCCCGGCGCCGAGGGGCAGGTGGGCCGAGGCACTGCCCACCAACTGCGGGCTGCTGTAGCCCGGGGCGAGAGGGTGTCCGGGCGTGGCGGCAACCGGTTGAGGTGGCTGCATCATGTGCATGTTGCTGTAGGCAACATGCTGCTGGTGCTCGTGTCCTGTGGAGGGTGGCTCCTCAATGCTGGCAAGGTACGGGTCGTGGTCGGGATCGTTGATGTTTGCGCCACGGGACCTGGGTCAAGAGAGCCAGGAGGGAGGGAGGGAGAGGGGGAGAGAGAGAGAGAGAGAGAGACAAAGAGATGAGGTCAGAAGAAAAGACGCAAGAAGAAAACCGGCAAGAGGGGGCTGGCTGACGTACAGCGAGGATGAGGCCCGACGCTGGGTCGGCGGGCTGGGAACAGCCGAGCTGGGCGCCTGGCGTGCAGAGACTGGCCGGCCATAGTGGCCCATGCTCATGCGACGAAGATCCATCGGACCACCGGGGGCCGCGCCGAAGTGCAGCTCCGCCGAGGATGACTCCACGAGTTGACCGCCCCCGTAGTGAGGATGGTATTGCGGCTGCTGCTGCTGCTGCGGCTGCTGCTGCTGCTGCTGCTGCGGGTGTTGCTGATGCTGGGGGTAGTGCGCATGCTCCGGCGGGAGGAAGGCAAACTCCTCGGGCGATGGCTGCATGGGCGACACATTGACCGACAGGGCAGGCGGACCGTGTGGGGCTGGGCGTCCGGCACCGGCTGCCATCATACCGGGCACCGGCGAGCCGGACACACCGCCGCTGATGCTGGGACGTCTGGGGAGAGAGAGAGAGAGAGAGGGAGGGAGAAAACGGGCAATGGACATCCGCAAGGAGGGGGAGGTCAGACACATGCAAGAGCCAGAGCAGGCCAGCTCGAGCTGGGGAGGGGACCGGAAGAAAATGGACAGCAGCGGGAATGGCGGTGGCGTACCCGGTCATTGGAGAGACACTCAACTTTGGAGCTGTAAAGCTACGCCCAACAACCGCCACCCCGGGAGCCGGGGCCGAGGGATGGCGGACCGCGCCCCCGACCGTGCCCACGGGACTCGGGGTGGAGGCCGTGGCGGCCCCGGCCACCGCCGGCAGGGGGGAGGGATTGGACACCAGGGCCGGGATGCGCGTCTCGCTGAACTCCGAGTCGGAATCCGAGTCCAGCGCGCCGTCGGGGACGGACTCCAGCGCCGAGCCATCCAACGGCAGCAGGCCCGTGGTCAGTGGCGGGGTCGGGAGCAGGGCCGACGGAAGGAGGCCAACCTCCCCGACAGCCGGAACAGTCTTGCTGGACAGTGGCGACAGGGAGGGGTGCAGGGCAGTCGGCATGGCAGCTGCAGCCGCAGCTGCCGCTGTGGCTGCCGCGCCGGCCGCCGCATTGGCCGCGGCAATGGGTGTTGCCAATGGCCCGCCGGCCACCAGCGGAGACAATCCCGACAGCGGATCCGCCTGGGGGCTGACAACATCGACATCCAGGCTGTCAGGCACGGCAGCCGGACCGGTGGTCAGGGGCAAGGCCGGCGACACCGGCATCGATCCCGAACCTGGCGCCGACACCGACGCCAGCGCCGGGGCCATTGCCCCCGGTGAAGACACCAGGCCAAAGGAGGCCGGCAGGGCGGCCCCCGGGCTATTGGCGCCAGAGCCACCTCCTCCACCGCTGGACGACGGGGAGGAGGAAGATGCGGCGGCGGCGGCAGCTGCGGCGGCCGATGCCGCGGCCAGCGAGGCCACCGCATTGGCCAAGTCAGTGGTGGCCGAGCCACGCGGGCGCGGAGTGGACGCCGCCGCATCGGCATCGGTGCCGACATCGATCAGTGGCTCGGCCGGCAGAGCCGGCGACAGGCGCACAAGGTCAATCTGCTCGGAGGAGGTGCCAAGCAGGCCCGACGGATCGGGGAAGGGGGTCTCAATGTCGATGTCCGTCAGGGAGGTGGACGAGGAAGATACGTGTGACGGGCCGAAATTCGGGACGGCCGGCGACCCGGGCACCGGCGAGGAGCCGCGCGAGTCATTCTCCGGATCGGAGGACACAATGCTCACAGGAAAGTCACCGTCGTGGGACATGCTACTGGGTCCGGGGGCAGGCTGGATAGGGGGAGGCCCGTCGGCCAGGTGCGATGGCTACCGCCGAGACACTGGAGTCAAGTATGCGCGAGTGCACAGAGGGGAACAATCCGACGAGAGGGAGGGGAAGGAGGGAGGGGGCGGTATTGGAAGAGCGGGAACATCAGCAACGGGAGTGAGGAGGGAATGGGGGCACCGGACAGATTGGATGGGGAAGTGGCGCTGCCAGGAACACATGAGCGAATGAAGAGAGGAGAAGCGAAGCAAGGATGGGAGAGAGAGAGAGAGCGGGGGGGGGGGGGGAGGGGTAACACACCGTCCAAGTGTCTCAGCAAGGGGGGAGTAGATGGGCGCACACACGCGCAGGCCGTGGGCAGAGGGGCTGCCAGGTGGAGAGGGGAGAGGGGCGAAGAGGGGAGGGGGGGGGGAGGGGTCGGGGAGGTCGGAGAGAAGTGCCTTCGCCTGGCGGGGGAGGGGCAGAGGGGCGCTGGGAAAAGAAGGTCTTCGGTGCAGGGCGACGGGGCAAAGACAGGGAGGAGCACCGGGGGCACCATGTCCCGGTAGATGCTCGGGCTGGCAAAATCCGCCCCTCGGCGGGCTCAAACGGTCGTGAGCATGTATGAGGGTTGTGGGGAGTGGAGACACGCCGGGAAAGCCCCAGCGTAGTCTGGGCAGGCTGGGGCTGGCAACCGGGGAACGCGGACAGTGACGGGGGGAGTGGGCGGCCGGCGATCCGGGGGGAGCGAGGGCCAAAACAGCGGGGAAATATTGGGACAAAAAAGAAACTCGAAAAAGTCCGCCCCAGGTAAGAATCCAGCAATAAGACCCCATGCCCCCCCCTGCCCGCCCCTGGTCGCCATCCATGTTGCACGGCCGGAGTGAGAACAGACAGCGGGAATGCGCAGGCGCGCGGACGTGCGCATATGTGCCGCTGGGAGCGGGGCCGGGGCCGGGGGCGTGCCCCAGCTTTCTTCCCAGGGCTTGTACCAGCCAGAGTTGGTGACCCAAGTCATTGTGCGGCTCCGCGGTCCTCTGTTGCGCGCTCGCTGGCCAGGGAGGCCAGGCTTATCTGTGAATGCTGCAAATGCTGCGAATGCTGCGAACGCTGGGGACTGGCGGGAGTCTAGTCTGGGAGGGGGGGAGGGGGCGACGGCCCCGCGTGCCGGCGTTTCTTCCGCGCCCTTTCCTGGCCATGTTTACCTCCCACCGATCCCCCCCTCACCCGGGCCGCCATGCGTCCCGCCCCCCCCCCCCGCTTTCCTGGGTCTCGGCTCCCCCAGCCCGAGAGTGTGGGGGCCCCGCCAAGATGGATCCGGGCATCTCGCAGGGCCGGAGAACCGGCCGACCCGGCTCCCCGGGGGGCGCCGGCGGTCGGGCGGTTAGGAGGCCGGAGCGGGGCCCCCCCGGGGGGGGGGAGCGCGCGGCCCCATCCCAAGCACGGGGGTCGGGGGCAGTACACGGCACACGACCGAAGGTCCCCTCTGCCTGGCCCGAGTCGCTTCCAGCTCCGGCCCCGCCCTTCTAGG